CAGGGTCCTTGGTCGACGTCGTGCGGCGTTTCTGGCCTGATCGAAAGGCGATGTACACTTGTGCGTTTATCTTTTGAATTTATTCTATTTGTATCCGACCATAATGTGGATTTCAGGCTGGAACACCAAGATTTCAGCGCGCGAGTCCAACTACGGAACACGCATCGATTACATTCTTGTCACCCCCGGACTACTTCCCTGGATCCAAGCCGCCGACATTCAGCCCGAGATTAAAGGAAGCGACCACTGCCCAGTTTTTATCGATCTCCGCGACGAGATCATCGACACGAATGGCGGCGTGATTAAGCTACGAGACGTTCTGGGACCCAAAGCAGTCGGCGCAGAGCCCCCACGGATCGCCGCCAAGTTCTGGGACGAGTACAAGCAGAGGCTCTTGGACACGTTTTTCGGCAAAAAGGCGGAGCCCAACGCCAAAGCGACACCTGCGCAACCTCAGACATCACAGGCAACGTCCGATCCAACCCCTTCGGCGACACTTGGATCCGAACACGCAGATATGCTCAGATGTGCAGCTCCATCTGCCAGCGAGTTACCCGACGATCGGCAGTCTTCTGGGAGCCAGGTTTCGAGCGCGACTCCGCCTTCGGTTTCGGTTGCTGCTGCGAAACGAAAACGAGATATCCAGGAGCCGGTGGCCTCTTCATCCAAAAAGTCGAAAAAAGATAATCTCAAACCTAAGAAACCCGGACAAACGAGCCTGGCATCTTTCTTTTCCAAATCGACCTCCTCGTCCTCCAAAGCCGACGCGTCGGCATCTGGAACGAAATCACAGTCGTCCAAAGAAAAGCCCTCGGCGGCTGAAATACTGGACGCCGATTACAAGCTTGCGCTGTCATTATCACAAGAATCTTCGCCTCCACGGGCAAGTGGGACTCAGAGCAACGGCGAGAGTAAGAAAGCGTGGTCAACGCTCCTTGCGCCTGTGCAGCCGCCACTCTGCCAGGTCCACGGCGAGCCAACAAAGGAGCTGACCGTCAATAAAGCGGGTCCGAACAAGGGGAAGAACTTTTTCATCTGCTCCAGGTGAGATCCTCGGACGATTCCATCGTGGCCAGTCTACGCCCGCTGATCGCCTTGCCTTCATAGACCGGTGGGGCCTGGATACGATCGAGGCAAGACGGAGCGGCTGAGGGAAGAAGTGGATCCAACGTGGAGGTGCGATTTCTTCAAGTGGGCGAGCGACGTCAGGCTGGAGATGGCGAGGAAAAGAAGTACCGGCGGATTTGGGTAGGTTTCAGGTCCGCCTTGTCGCGCTTCGCTCATCGTCCGAAACAGGTAACCATATTTAGTATTCGGTGCTGTGCCTGCGTGGCGAACGGGCGTCAATGTAACCACTATACCTTTCTGACCGCCTCGTTTAAGCCTGTTTAAGCTCTGCGATCGCCACGGTTACGTACGATGTGGACCTTCTTTGGTATCCGAAACGAGGCTAACGCAGTCGGTCCTCGGACCGACACTCCCGCGCTTCGTAGTTAGTGTCGCGCCACAGGGGAAAGGAAACACATGCCAGAATTGAGCCATTCAGTCGGCTAGTGAGTGCGTTATACTCTGTTGAACAACCTTTTCCTCTGTACTGAACCGAGTGGCTGCTGGCTGGCGTCGTCTCAAAGGTAATTTGATCGCCATATCGAGCCTGCTCAAACGTTCACCAGCAAGAAGATGATGCACGAGGAGGGGTCTGACTACCAAGAGAAGGCTCAGACCGATATAGCATTGATACGTCCAGTCTGCCTTGGTTCGGGAAACTACGCTAAGGCGTACGTACCCCTGTCAGCCATCATAAATGGACCAGCAGAGACTTATAAAGACGCCTCTCGGCGAGACGCGTCCTCTCCGACCACCGCGGGTCTTTCGCTCCTCGCTGCGATGTTGGACGCCCTACCTGTAGAGCTCATCCTATTCCTTCTCCGTAGCTCATCCGTCGCGGATATCTTGAACTTGTCGAGGGTGCGCAAAATCAACATCACTTTCCTTCCGCATGGACTGAACTTATGTTTAGACTTCATCGTACTTCCGCTATATTACTCTCGTGCACCGACGGCTTTGGATCGATGCCTCCGACTCCTATAGGATTCGTCTCCCGTTAGGCGAGACGCTCAAAACCACCGACTTGTCTCGGCTCCCTCGCTACGCAGCACGCAGCACGGCAATTCTATGTAAATTGCGCCAGCATCATGATCTCGCACAACCCATTTCTCCGATTCGAACCTATGAAGCAATTCGGCTCTACGACCTCCCCGCATGGATATTCTGGTCGCCTTTGAAATATTCCCAGCGGTCCTTTGTGGGCCACTCTCCCCCGGCGTTTATGAACGTTCTCCCGGGCGGCCGTTCATTTCTCCTGGGTTCGATGGGTCATCTTGGGATATACGGCCTCCGCGGCGAATACGGATATGAGCTGAAGGTTCCGTTCTGCGCGCGTTTTGATCCTCACCCCGGAGATACCGCTGCGACGCTCGCCTGGGATAGCGTCGATAATGGTGTTCACATAGGGATCGCCGTTCTTTCGAAGTCATTCAATGAGCGGCACGATGTCGAGAAGTACGATTTCGTTCTTTGCGTTGATTTGGAGTGTTGAACATGAATTTCAACCAGCTATTTGAGCGTGTTCAAAATTAATTACGCGCACTCCGCCAAAGCGCCGTCTATTCGCCGCACCCACGTCTTCACTCTGCCTATCGACGCCACCACCGTCTCCATTAAAGGACACCTTATCTTGGTTCGCACCAGTGCCGACTTTCTTTTGATTGACCTTAAGGTCAGTCAACGCGGTTGGTGGCATCTTTCGGTATGTTTGCCTCCATTTGCGTTCTCCTGTCGCCGTCGCTGAATTTTGGTATAGGACTCCAGAATCACCCACGCTACCATCCAACCCGCCCAGCGGACCATATTTCTGGTCCTCAACTCGCACAAGGACAGCATACACTCCTTACAAACCATCTCCATCCCATCGACTTTGGAGTCGTTCGCGCCCACTAGTAGCTCGTTTTGGTCCACCTATCGCTTTACACCACTAACAATCGACATCCTCCCAACCTCAAAATTGTCCCACGTGTATCTGAGCATGAAGGCTCTCGACGCCAGTGGAACGATTTTCCGGGAAACGACATTGACGCCGGACGCGCGCACGGCCATCACCTCCTCCACACACATCGGGCCCGTCCGATATGCACCTGCCAATGAGATTACGGCGCATACGGTGGCACAGCCCTTGGTATCCCACCGTTCGTCGTATCACACAACACTGACAGCCGTGGGGAACGGTGTGCTTGCGGCGCTGCGTACGGATGATGGTTGGGGCGCTGGGGACGCGCAGAAGTTATTGACGTTGTCGTTCCCTGCGGAGGGTATGCCCGGCATAGGTCGCACAGTGGTATTTGATGACGTCTACGGGGTCGCGCTCGCGTTCGCGCGGGGGAGGCTGTTTGTCATACAATATTGAGTTGCGTTATTTATTTTGGGAACGTGTCCGTGGCATCCCGTTCAAGTCATTTGTGTTTACGCTGCGGGACCCGACCTTAGTTGATGGGTGTCGCTATTCAAACAAGCACATTCGGGAGCTCTGTAAGACTTGGAGCGGAATTCGAACGACGTCTCTACGTTCACCAGCACTAAAGTCAAACGCCAGCGGACTGTGAATAGCCAACACTGTTTGCAGTGATACTGAGGACATACCTAGTCCCCGCATCGCTCAACATCAGTTTCATAATTGTTGAGGTTACCCGACGTTCGCGACGATCAGTTTCTCCTCGCGTCTACGAAGCTGCATGCTAAGTCATTCCGGAAAAGCTATAAGGTCTGTTGTGGGAGCTTACGTCGCGGTCATTTTCTTCTTTCTGACCTTCCTTCCTTGAACTTATCGTGCCGGCCGCGAGGAATCGGGATTCCCGCCTATTTCTTACAATGCTATCTTATATCTTCTTCGTCGGGTGAGTCACTGTTCAATGTCGGAAACTCGGATTGATCTTTCCATCTAGTTCTCTCTTGGTTTTCACCCCGTTAATCACGTTTGCGCTCGACATACATGCGCCGCCCCAGGTCGTGAGCCCCGGGATAATGCAAATAAATGTCACCGGGCAGGCCATGGCCACGGACCCAGCCACCGGAAAACTTGCATACGCATACTATACACTTTATAATACCCTCGATGGGCAGTCGGCCGACGTCGACATCACCGACCACAAAACCAGCGACAATGATACAACGACTCGGAGCATATCTCTGACGATCCCCCTGGTAGCGAATGGGTGGGTAGACTCTTTTGTGGTCTTTGACAGCGACATTCGTTGAATTATGGCTAGCGATGGTTGGACTCTCGTGGCTAATGTCGGATCTGATGCAGTTTTACAACCTGTGAACATCGGCACCTCGAATACCTTCTTTATCCAGTCGAACAGGTACGTGATTCACGACATCAAGTGGCGCGTTAACTAAATATACAACAGTACAGCCCCACATTTCAACAACGGTCCAACTCATGGTCAAGCTAGTTTCGCGATCGCCGAGCCTTACCGCATCTCACCATATGCAATCGGCGGCGGTGTATTCGGTATACTTGCACTGCTTTTGGGTGTCCTGCGTTTGGTTCTGTTCTGCAGCGCGCGGCGTCGCCGTGAACCCGAGAATGGTGGAGCTAAACTCGAAGCAGGGCAAGGGAGAAGTGATGCACCATGGACCGCAGATCATTTAACGTCGCTGAGTTCGCAAGACAGTTTGGATCAAAAGGGTAAGTCACATTCGAAGTAAGGTGTCTGCACTTTAAATTAAACTATATACAGTCCCCCTTCCGCCAAATCCGAATCCAAAGTCGGAATAGTAGAAGTTGGTATCATAGAAACAAGAGTTGTTGGGGTCGAGGATTAGACAGATGTGGGGTGCGAGGAAGCCGAAAAAGAAGTGAAGTGCGAAAAAACTTGCAGATGGACGGGGAAACAGCAGGCGTAAACGTGATTCTGAGGAATCCAATTAAGCAAAATGCAAGGTCGTACCCGGAATCGAACCGGGGTCACCAGAACTCAGAGAGATCATCAGAATCTGGTGTGATAACCGCTACACTATACAACCATGTGAAATGGCCCACCTGGCTGTGTATTACACCGGGGGCGCTGAAGTTGATCTTGTGCTTGCTTCGAGAAGTACCAGAGGCTTGATCGCAGAGTAACGCAGAGCGGAGTTTCGTCAGACAGCCAGACATGTGCAGTTTTAATGAAGGGGTGATGACATTTGAACAGTGACTGGGAAGGGTTTACTGACCGATCAGCTGGGTGCACTTAACATGACACTCAGCCACTGATGGCACATAACTTGAGCCTTCATTTGTCCCGTTTACTGTTGTCATAATTGCAGAGCAAAATCATAGCCCATTGTGTTGGCACCAAAAAATTACTGAAATCCATTGTTTCAAGCTGCAGCAAGACACCGACACGCTCCACCGTCAAATCACTGGCATCTTGATGGCATCACGGATGCCGAGGATGCCATGTTATGTGCGTTAAGTGCACACTCTCGTCTCGGTTGCCCATTCTGACTCTTTCTGATACATCTGTGCCCCTGGAGCTCCTATTAGATGCATTGAACCTGTACTCTTACCTCAAGACCCCAAAAATCATGTTTTCTTGTGGGAATCAACTGCAAATTTGGTTGCCTGCTCAACGACACCTCCAAACCACTTCAAACAGCACAGAATGGGTGTTAGGAGACTGGGGATGCGGAGGAGTATGAGCAGCCGCTCTCGATTCTCTTGGCGAGTCTGCAGGATGATTAGTACACAGCCTTGGTTCAAAGTGTCCGTATCTGCAGTGGAGGGGTCGGCGAGGGAGTCGAGCTGCAGCATGAGCGTTAATCATGTCTGTCTGAGTGAATCCATGGTGGGGTCTGTCCGTCTGTCCGTCTGTCCAAAGCCTTTTAAACTCCGCTGATGCCTATCTGTGCCGCGTTGATGTTCAACTGCCTGGCAGGCTCGCGTGTGCTAAACAACCAGCCAAACCATTCCGTACCATTGCCGCCCACAACCGTTGACGGCGACTTGCCATTGCCCTGGCCCCACAATGACGTAAGTATTTCTCTCCCACCTATTAGTAATTAAGGCGGCTCCAACCGTTTTCGTTTAAAACCGTTTATAAACTGTTTACCGTTTACTATTTACAGTTTATTTTACGGACCCTTGTAAACGGTAAAAAAAAAAACGTTTATAAACGGTTCAAACGATTGAAAAATTTAACCTAATATCCCGGGGGTTGCCAGCAAAGTTCCGAATACTTTTCACACTCGGGGTGACTTTTCAGACTTCCCAGACTGTGAATAGACATGGATGAGCAATATTTGGGCTGACTGACTTCGGGTGCGGGATTCTCCCAAATGGAAGGAAGCTCTCCAAATGTTTGATGCGACCCGGCTTGACTGCAGCAGGCAACACCATGGACCTATACCTCCTACATCGAGCTGAGACTTCTTAGGTGCATATAAATCGTCAGGACACCACTTAACTCCTTTATAATGGTCTCATGCATGGTAGGTATTTTCTTGCCTGAAAAAAAAAACCATTTATAAACGTTTATAAACGTTTGTAAACGGTTTACAAACCGTTTCCGTTTAGTTTACGGAAATCCGTAAACGAAAACTAAACCGTTGGAGCCTTACCTATTACAAGGTAAACACAGGGCTTGCTCCCACTGGTTGTAATAATAAAATAAGTCTTGGCACGAATAAATTGCATGGAAGGGGATGGGAGGCCGCGACTCGGAAGCGGCCGACCAGCCCTCAACCAGCCCTTATAATTACTGAGAACGTGGGAAAAAAAGAGCTGCGCTGTACGAGATGGAGAGAGAGGAAGGGGTGGGCGCAGACAAAGACGAGAAGAGTTAGATTCTCAGAGTCGGGGTGTCAATGCATACTAGAACTCTTTTGCTTTCCCCCTTCTTCCTCGGGTAATAACTACCTTGCGCTCAATTCTCCACGTCCCCCCCCGCAGCACCACTCGAGAACATTTTGCCACAACTCTTTCTACCTCCGGGATTCGGTACGGTGTTCCGACAACCCTCGTCCCGTCGATCTTACATTCAAGCTAACTAATTCAAGTTAAAAAGCAAGGCAGTATCGACGCCCGAGATTCGTGTCCATTAAGCTTGTAACGATGGCCGAAAAGAAACTATGTGAAAATATACCCACCGTAGTGAGACAATTTTACTACGGAGGAGGAAGTGTCCGTTACTGGTGAAAATTTCCCGGATTGCATGAAAGTACTCCGTCGTCGTCGCCCACCAAAAAATCTGATGGAACAACAATCAATGATACTTCTTTGGGGGAACTGTAAGCACACTCACCTAAGTTGAATCCAGCGATGACTACAGTTCCATCGTTAGTCTTTCACTGCGCACTGAGGATGACTCCTGGTCCATTGGGATTGACGAGGCCAATATTCGTGCAGGAAGCGGTGAAGCCGCTACCGCCGCTGGAAGGAAAACGGGACATTAGCTGGATAAGCAGAGTTAGTGCAGGCGAATTTACGGGGTGAGTTGTCCGTTGATGTTCCCAATGCAGGAGTCAAGCGAAAGGCTCGCAGGGATGTCCCCCGAGCCCGTGGTGGCCCAGGTGGACGTGAGCACGCCATTCGAGGTGACGGCGTTGCCGTGGCAGACGTCAGAAAAGCCGTCGTCGATCACTCTTGTGACGACGCTCTTCTCCAAGGGAGCAGAGAGGATGCTGGGAATAGCAGTGATGGTGCAAGCAGCGAGGAAGACAAATGAGACGAAGGTGTTCATGATGGATGATATCGAGCTCGAGGACGGCTGGTCTCTTTCGATGGGTGTGCGACCCCTTTTACACCCTGAGCCCTTGTGGAAATACTATTTTGAACTGGAATTACCAGTGTCCGGCCACTGCTCCCGCAGAGTCCTGAGCGGCCGGGCGCTGCGGATACTGCTGCCCGCGAGGTTCAAACATCGAGGTACCATTCAGCCAAATGGGTCTAGATTTTACTCGCTCCGATCCCCACCTTAACTGCAGCATACGAAATACGGTTACGGTCCCGTGCGGTAAGCCGTACTGTCCCGTATAGCCTTCCAGGGTCATCTCTACGGTTGTGGGTACGGTACGGCTTGCGTGAGGACCACAAACCAAGCCAATTGCGGAGGAATGAAATGAGCGAATCCGATAGGCAACTGTATACGGGTTGGTACGGTCCCTCATGCCGTACCCTAAGCCATAAAATCCAGAACTTCCATGGCTGTATTCAGATTCCCGTACGAACCAACATATCCTTAACTCAACTCGGGACCAACTCGAATATTTTTGACTCCTCAGAATATGGCCTAATTTAACCGGCCAAGAATAGCTGACGGAAAATTAAGATTATTGTTCACGTTGGGGATGGAATGGACAGAATGGCGCAGCCATAAATTCACGCGCCCCACTGCACAGCCGGAGTGTGACTGAGTCTGCACGAGCGGACCATGCTGGCGGGTATATCCCACACCGCCGCTGTAAAACAACGGTGTGTTCATGACTGATCGGACTTTTGCCCTCAAAGATGACGGCGACTCGATTCTCATCACTGTGGGGCGGATATACAATCGGGACAGTTGACGGGATTCAATCGTGCCAATTGTACTCGACCGACCCAATCAGCTCAACTACCGAATCGGAAGGATACTATCAGGCTGATTGAATTTTGGCGTAAATTTCCATCGACCTGGGTGTGTGTCCCAATCAACCTGAGAGGGCTCATTCAATCGGGGCAATTGAGCGCTATCAATTGCTCTACTTAATTGCGAGTTCAGTAAAGCTGACATATAAAATAAAACTTATTGTCCTATAATACACGTCTAAGTATGTCCTCCACGACCGCCGCCCCTGGTCAGAAGCCTCGCAATGCTCTCGTGCTACCTTTTAGCGTATGTCAGTTGACCAGAAAAGGGAAAGGGGTAGTCTCCGTAACAGATACCCTATATTGATGACGAACAAGTAAGTATCAATATAGGGGAAAGGGGTAGGTTGATGACGCGCCGTTGTCCGAGTTTAAGGCAGGAATTGGGAGAGCGAGACGTGTAAATTGAAACGAGTGAGCAGTAAAAGAAGAGCTAAGACGCACCAAAGGCTCAGATATCGACTCTGACATGGTCGCACTGCAAGTCAAGCTGCAAACTGGTTTAAACAATCGTGACCTATATGCCAGTCACGGAGGAATAAGTCGCAACTTTCATGACGGGAACTTACCCACTGCGTCTATATGGCATGAACTGCTTCGGACCTGTCCAGTGACCATGTGAGCTAGACAAGCAGTCAGAACTTAGGAGTAAATTCCGCCGCATGCTTCGAAAATGTAGTCCTACGCGGGCCCCGATTGAGAGAACCAGCATGAAAAAATGGGCGAACCAGATTTCGAATACATGGAGAAATTTATCTATCTGGGATGGCCTCTCGGCACCGTTGTACTGCTTCTGAGTTGAAGAGAAAGGCGAGGAGCTAACTATTGCAGGATATGTGTGCGCAGAGAACGAAGGGGGCAGGTACTCCTGGTGAGGACGATTGATTGGGGTGGGGGAATCGAACTAATTTATTCAAGTACAGTGCCGCTCCTTTTGTGCTAAGGACATATGTAGTAACTCCATCTAGAATGTAAAGCGGGAACATATCCGAGAATGTAACGCGGGAACGTACCCGAGAATAATACCTGCGTAGTAATACGCGGGTGCATTACCGAAGCATGAGACTGCTCGGTACCTAGTAGAGCACTCCGTGTGTTCCTATAAATATAACTCCGTCTCCGGACGAACCTAGTAACCATATGCGGATGTTTCATCTCCGATCAATATTGCTCCGCCTACCATTCTCCGTATTCCTTGTGCTGTGCCATCTCCGGCTCCGTGCTGTGCTATCTCCTTCTCCATACGGTCCATACGGTCATCTCCTCCGTGCTGTGCATCTCCGCCTCCGTGCTCCATGCGGCAATGGTATGGGCTTCGCACCGCTTGCCATATTGCAACACTAACCAACACCTCGACTCTGGACAATCGAACATTGAGACGGGTCAAATAAATGAAAGAATCGGCCTCACGCGGTATGTAAACTGGCTGAATTTCAAACTTGACCCAGAGGAACCGAGGGTGTATAACACTCAAAGCGCCCGGTGAGCGGCCAAAAAAAATCAAATGAGAGAAATGAGAGCAGAAAAATCGCCTCAGGCCTGGATGTTCCCGAATGTCTACGCCTGCCGAGCATATTGTTTCAAAGTCGCCGATATACAGGCAATAAAATTGCATACCTAGCAATGTCGGCACCTTTGGTGCGGACCTTGTTGCAAAAGTTGTCTGCTTCGTACGGATTAGTCCATTATTCCCCATTTTTCCTCCATGGATCAGAAAACAGCAAATTATTATTTTGGGATATGTAGCCAGGTATGATACAGTTTTTTGGTCGATAAGAGCTTCGGATGGCTCAATCTCAATGCCACAATTTTGTTTGAAGAGATTCGGCTAAGGGATGAGCTTAAACGACCAAAACGGGGATCAGCCATCACTTTCGCCCACATCGAGTAAGACTGTGCACAAACTATCTGCATGTCACCTGAATCACTTACAAACCCAGACAGTACCACAGAAATGATTCCATAAGGCAGGTGAGGTGAAGAAGCCGATGAAATGTGATTTACTCCAGGGCAGGAGTTGTGAAGGGTCCCTAAAACCCTTATCTAAAGGTAGCGGGAATCAACTTGAGCTTGAACCTGCACTTCTGTAGGCTCTCATTTACAGACCCCATAATACATATTTGATCTTGTACTTCACTGTATTGAAGTACTTCTGCTCCTGGGAGATGCTTCTTCTTCCATTCCAGGATTGCTCTCAACAACTACTGTGAAGAAGGGATAGTGTTAAGATGATGGATTAAAAGCCTCCAACAATCTCAGAGTACCTTTTGGACTACTCCAGACTCAAAGTCACAGTACTGTATATAAGTCTATCCTATATGATACAGTAGATTCCATCTTATATTTTCTACCTATCAATCAATCAATTTTGACTTGCTACTCTGGAATCTCCTGTCTTTGCTACTCTGGACATTGTGAATCAGCATGAAATTCTTGTACATATGCTATATACATGCCTAGGAAATCCTGCCAGCTGATATGACACATACAGACACCATACAAAAAACTGAGTAACTGGTATTGCTTTCAGGCGAGCAAACTGTCTCACTATTATGAGGAATCAATTGCATAGTGTCGGTGGAACATCTCCAAATACCTCAGATTCTCATTGTTTTAATGAACAAGTAGTAGATCAGCAAATCTATGTTACGGTATGCACTCAGAGATTTGTTCCCATAGATCAGTGGTAGATCAGCCTTGGCAAAATATGCATAATCCAATAGGTTGCATTGAGGACGGTGGGGGTTCAGCTCCCACTTGGAGCATCCATCCATCATAAGGGATTGTTTTTGGCAGTGCCAGCTCCTCCTTTATTAAATCCATGATGCACTCACAGATGGAGAGTACAAAGCTCGGGTGTTGCAGAAGAAGTCAAATAATCCTGAGTATAAGCAGGGGTGAGCAGAGGAGGTACTGGAGGTGCTGGAGGGTCAACCAGAGGGGCCAGAGGTGGAGGTTCCCCTAACAGGTATATATTGTTTTTAATTTTTTTTGGTGGATGTAACAATGATGAGATGCCCACTGTCGAGATGATGGATAGGAGATGCTCCAATAGGTCAGCAGGTGGACCAGCCTCTCTTTTTGGATTTCTTGAGGCCAATATAGGTTTGACTCTTGCTTGGGGTGCAGTCTTTTGCCTCCACACTTTTTCCTTTACCCAATTACATTTTTTGGTAATGTAACAACACTGGGATCTCAAATGTCAAGAAGTATCTCAAGATGCCACTCCAGTATGGAGGGGAGGAGAGACAAATCTACCTCATGGCAAGCACTCTTGGGCCGAAACCCAAGCCAGTGTGATGCTGCAACATAACTAAAAACAGAATGGTATTTAGAGATTATGAGCCCATTGAGTAACAAAGAAACTGGGATGGTGGGCGGAGATTTTTGAAGCCAGAAACAAAACAGGTTTACTCAAGTTGAGCGAGCAAGTGAGCAGGGGACAAGGAGAAAAAAAGTCAGAGTGATGTAACTGCTTGCATGTAAACACATACTAGGATGATATTTCTCAGGATACCACTACAGCACTAGAGTAGCCCCAAAGATCAGCGGTAGACCAGCCTCTCTTGTTATACTTGCAGAGGAGTGAGCTGAGCGGATGCAGGTTCAACTCCTGCTTGGGGCATAGTCAAGAGGGTTTGTACTTTTTTTTCCATTTAGTGCGGTAGTGTTTATGTTGTGTTTGGATAATCAAACAAAATGATGTTGAGACACCACTTTTGTGCAAGAGCTCCAGTAGATTAGTGGGCCAGCCTCTTTTCTTGTATAATCCTGGATTTACTGAGGCCAAAGTGGGTTAGACTCCCACTTGGGGCATAGTGAGCAACTTGGCACTTTTTTTCTGTACATCTTTGTTTGAAGCAACTTGAGATGCCAATGTCTCAAGACATCACTGCAGCACTAGGGGAGCTCTAAAGGTCAGTGGTAGACCAGCCTCTTCTCATTAATTTCAATGGCACTTCGCATTTTGAGGCCAATGTGGGTTCAACTCCCACTTAGGGCATGCTTCAAGACTGTTGGTTTTTTATTTTCTTTCGGGCTACTACAAATTTCTTTTCAGATAATGTAACAATACTGGGATTTCAATAAGTATCTCAAGATGCCACTGCGGTGGGGAGGGGAGGAGAGACAAATCTCCCTCGCACTGCCTCACAGGAAGTGTTCCTGTGGGGAAACCCAAGCCGCTGTGATGCTGCAGCATAACTAAAAACAGGACAAATAGGTGGGGATTATGAGACTTTTAAATAACTAAGAAACTGGGATAGTGGGCGGAGATTTTTGAAGCCAGAAACAAGACATGTGTACTCACATCAAGTGAGCAAATGAGTAGGGAGCAAGGAGAAAAAGAGTTGGAGTGATGGCATGTAAACACATGCTAGGACGATACCGGGATGACAATGACTTGGGTATCTCAGGATACCACTACAGCACTAGAGAAGCTCCAAAGGTCAGCGGTAGACCAGCCTCTCTTGATGCCTGATTCACGAACCGTGATCTGAGGTGATGCGGGTTCAACTCCTGCTTGGGGCATGTCGATGACACATTTCGCTTTTTTTTGCTCCCACTCTACTTTTTTTGGTTGGGACAAGATGAACGCGACAAGAAGGAAAAATGATGTACACTTTGTGTTCCCCAAAAGGAAACTCCGGCTTCGTGAGTCGAAGGTATGTAAGTACGGTGTGTGAAGCCGCCGCCGTGACAGGAGCAGCAATGACAGGGTCAAGGGAGAAGAACTCGGGACAGTCGCTGAGGCGGCAGAGTAGCAAGGATGATTGACGAGCGGGGAGATAATGAATGCGAAAATTAACAGTGAAATGTGTAGCGGACTGGAGATGGTAGGGTATACCGTACCTAGTTGAGGGCCCCTTGTTTTCTTTGTACAGCGGGTGGTGCCCGTCACTGCTGCCCCACTGCGAACTTTCGAAATGCAGCCTCGAGCGCCGTACACCTGAGTCTCCTTTTTGGGAACAAAGTTACATCGTGTTTCCGTCGTATCTAGTACAGTTCCACCTTAGCCATATGTAGATCCTTAACGTAGACGCTCGTGGGCTCCCCCTTGACCAATTTAAAAAAATTGACCCAGCATGAAAATGGGGGGATTTTCGGAATCGAGCCGTGAGAGTGGGAAGTTATCGTGTATTTTTCCTCCAGCCAAGTACTATAGCTACATTTTTTTCCAGATCATGGAACGATGCTGAGATGTTGAGATGCCAATGTATCAAGATACCACTGCGGCACTGAGAAGCTCCAAAGGTCAGCGGTAGACCAGCCTCACCGATTAGGCCCTCAGTAACATCAGAAAGGTCTGAGGCGTACGCGGGTTCGACTCCCGCTTGGAGCGTGTCCGGAATGCGCAACCGTTTTTTTTTGTCGTTTGTTTGCTTTCTTTCTTGAGAGAATTTTGGCGTTCGACCTTTGGGGGCTTTCCTCATTGCTACCCGCCATCGGGCTCGAGGTTCAAGAGTTGGAACGTTAGCAATGGAAGGAGTTGGAAAGAGTCGAGTTTCCATTCGTTCGTTCGTTCACATTCGTGAGTTCATTGCGTTTCATTGCATTTATACACCCTGCCCTCTCCTCCCTTGCACACTCTACATGTATTCCTACTCCCCACTTCCCCCCCAATCGAAAACAAAACGTAGAAATCATCTCGAAAATCGAGACGACGGAGAAAGCGCCTGAGAAAGACGGAGAAAGGTGAAGAGAGGTAGACCTGAATAGAACGTGCTGCCCTCTGGCGGCTGGGGGAGCTTGCGGTTTGAGGCGGAGGCCATTTCTCTACGGGGAGTGAGTCAGTGTCAGCAGAAGGAAAGAGGTGTCCGGGAAACCAAAGACGAGACAAGTATTCCGGCCCCACCCGCCCCCAACCTTCAGCCTCCGACCTTCCCCCTGCCCGTTTCCCTCCGACGCGCTGCCCGACGCGTTGAATACTCGCTCGCGACGCGTTTGTTTGCGCACGTGTCGCCATCAACGCCGATGCCATGTCTTGACTCGAGATGTTTACTAAGTAGCGTCGCCCTCTAGTCCCAATTCAAGCTCCACTCGATGACTACGCACTCCAATCAACTGCTAAGCCTACCTTGCCCTCTAGCTGGCTACATCTCCGCTGTCCCTCAACGGCTGTGACCACCGTCTCTGCCGACTCTCCGTCTCCCTCATCGCCGGCCCGTCTCGACTCCCCAGCAATGTGGCACAACCTTCCCGTCCTTCGTCGTCCCACCTTGGTATGGCTTTTCCTTCCGTACGTCTCATGGGAAGCGCTGATATAAGTCTTCTCTAGGCTCTTCTCTATGGATGAGCCACACACGCGAGGGAATATCTCCATTCTGTCCTACATACAAGACGACGAGCGATGGCTTTTGGAGGTATCAAGTAAAGTACATCGTTCTTTTTATTCTCCCTCCCTCTCTCGACCCTTTCGTCTCTCCTCCCCTTCACCCTTCTGTTCGTACTACCCGTATACCGACCATGTCGTACCTCCAGCTTAGCCACACTCCCCTTTGCCACCTTCGACACCAAGACCCCGTTTGCGAGCCCACCCGCACCTCGGTCACCCGCCCCCCCCTCCCTCAGCTCCAGGCAGCGCGAAGCTCGTGACGGCGGAGTACGGCAAGGACGGGGACGAGGCGGATGCGTCCCCTGCGCTATGTACCTCCCCGTCCTTCGGGCCCCCGTCTGTTCGGCAGGAAGCGAGTACGCCGCACTTCCGCTTGCCCGCCCGTTCCCCAGCACCATTTCCCCGTACGATACTTATCCGCCCCGCGGACAGCTCGCCCAGTACTCGTTGCATCTACTTACCCCTACATCGCATGCGTCCGTCCGTCTTGTATTACCTTGCCATTTATTCCGTATCTCAGAAAGAAAGTTGTTTTTGAATCTATTCGCTTGGCCGGGCCCGTACGAGTCATCTGAGGACCGAAACGCAAAAGCTGCACAAATCCGGTCAAAATCCCGTCGGTCGGCCGACCAACCCGATAAATCCGACGCGCCCCTAAGTTCTTTTCAAATTTCGCAATAAAAGTCGCTTTTTTACGGCGCTTGCGTTGCCACTCTGACGTCTGGATTCATTCCCGACAATGCACCGCCCCGTGGAGGATTAGATTAATACGTCTTCCGGCCCCCACCATCATGCATGGCAACCAAGTCTTGAAGTTTGTATTCCGTCTTCGAAATATTCCCCCCAGTGTGAGCTCATTTCAAATGCACTTCCAGGGTAATGCTCTATCATCTCCCTAATTCAGTACCACATAAACCTGTGGTACCGCTGTACCCAAATCACCTCTACGCATCAATCTTGCCCGGAGTCTCGGCCAGTCCCCCCTACAGCCCCGCCTCACGCTCGCAAGTGTTCCACGCTGAAAGTGAACATATCGGTTCGATTCGCCACTCAGTGACAGCTTTCCCCGCCGCTTTCTTGTCTTCTCTTTTTCTGTCCTCAAGCTCACAAAGAACGACAGCGGCGCCTTCCCCTGGGCTTCCTAGCTGGCTTCTTCCCCAAAAAATCGAATACCTTCTGTCTCTCTATCTCTTTCTCTGGTGCGACTCGGAATGATGACCACAAGGTGTAATGGCGCTGGGCCTGGACAGACGGCCTTGTATATTTCATTGGCCATGGCGTAGTCACGAGCACGGAGAAGTTCCATGTTCCTGACCGTGAATCTGTCAGCGGAGCAGCAGAGAGAAAGCAGCTAGGCTGAGAACGGATTTCTTCGGGTTCCATCACATGATGTGGAGTCGAAGCACGATTCCGCTATCAGACTCAGACATCGCGCAAACGGATGTGAACTGCGTGGCGTTCTGTATGTGTACACAAGAAGCTCCCGCATGCTATTACTGTCGCGTTTCGACCAAAGGTTCACGGGGTGTCACCCGTCACCTCAATTGTTCACTGAACAAATTGTTCATTCCTCGGCAATCATGAGAAAATTACCATAAAAGGCAGTCCGGCGGATGCCGGAGCGAATTTTTTGGCATTTTTTGGCCTATTTGGGCCCAAAAACCGCAATGTCACCGTCACCTAGTGCAAAATTGTTCAGTTCACAGGTCAGTGTCACCCGTCACCTGAACCTTTGGTCGAAACGCGACAGTAGATCTCAGGAGGGTATGCGAGCTGGTGATGTCGCGTGTGGAGTTTGTCATCGCACATGATTGGAGCTGGTATGAGAAGAATGTCGAGAGGGCGTTCCTTCTGGGGAGAATTGTAGGCTAATGTGTGCCTAATCAAACCTAACAATACGAAATCAATAACAACAAAATAGCACGCGTTTTTACGTATACACTTTTCGGCAAAGCACTGAGTAGCACATCGGACAGTTGTCGTAGAGAGAGGCATGGCACAAATCCTATAATGAAATTTCAAGCTTCAATTTCTTCTCAATCTCAATCATCGTACTTGACACCAAGTGCGTCAGTGAGCCGGCGATGCACATCACCATCACCAAGAGTAAACTTACCACAAGAGTCATTGACCCAGGCCACGCACTTGTCGTCCCATACGGCGTAATATACACCTTCGTCTCCGTCTCATTCACAAGTTGTGTGAACCCCGCTAGGAGCCCAGCGTCCCCCGGCGCGCGGCGCACATTCTTCAGCCCGAACACAGCCTTGACGATCTCCAGCATCGTGAGCTCCGTAAGCGAGACACCCGGGCAGACGTGGAAGCCCGTGCCGTTCTGCGTGGCGTAGGCCGACGCCGGGCGCGTGGGGTCGACTTGCGTGGGGTTGGGGAAGTCGGTGGCCTGATGCAGTCAAATGAATGTGCCTTGCGGCGTGCATATGATGATGGGATGGGATGGAGCGGCGTACGTTTAGATGAGCATTCTTGAAACTTCCCCAGACGCGGTCTCCAGCTTTGACATTTATGGGGTCAAGCCCAGCTCCCTGCGGAATCGATGCATCCACTGCGCATTGGCGCCAGAGGCCACAGTATTGCGGATTCAGACCTAGTCATTAACGTTTCAACTTCGGCCCAGAAGTGAGCACCCTTATATCCAACTCACGCATGCCCTCGCGAATGTATCCAACGAGCGTATTATCTGCATCGGCTGTGTTCTGCTGCACGAGCGCGATAATCTGCTGACGCTCCTGCACCCGCTCATCGTCCAGGTAGAAATCCAGGACGTGTACAGCGCCTTCCAGTGTGTGTTCAGCAGCGGCACATGAGATTTGCAGACTCTCTCACCTTGCGCAAAATTCACCGACGACATCATCGCCAGTCCGATTATTGTCGCAACCATCACCCTCGCCGACCGTCCAGCTGCCGCCAGCCGCTGGATGAAGCCGAAGTACGGCATGCTCGCCGTGCCGTCCAGGACACCGACAGCCTGGGTGGCCGTGCTGGTGGCCGCGGCGGCGGTGCCAGCGACAGCAGTCGCAGCGCCTGTGACTGTACCGGTGGCAGCACCTGCCAGCCCGCCGAGGAGTCCCCCCTGCAACTTGTTAACCGTAACCCCGGTGAAAGGACTTGAACTCACCCCGGAGCTCGTTGTTGTTGTTCCCGAACTCGTCGCTGTCGTCGTGGTGCCCGAACTCGCCGTAGTCGTTCCAAGTCCAGCGTCGGGACTCAGCACGCTGGTGGGCGCGATTTCGACCACAGTCGTGCCCACGAGCGCCTTCAAGACCGTTGCAGCCTGCTGTGCGGCCGACTTCATCGAGCATTGGTGCTCTGGGTCGCCAATCGTGAGGAATACGGCCCTGCAAGGATTCCACATTCAAACTAAGCGGATAAGACTGGCGTGTACATACGTGTACTGTTGGTTTTAGTTGCATCAGTACGCAGCTGTCAGCATGACAACACCAACTCACCAGTGTCGCGAGCATCTCGTACACCTCGTACTCCGTGTACATCCCTAGCGGAGTCGCGTCCGTCTTGAGTGTGATGCCGCACTGCAAAAATGCAAAGCCGGTTCAGCTCCGAGTCACGACAGAGACACCTGGCTGAGGAAAACAGCAAAACACAACGCACAAGGCAATCCGTCACCCATTTGACCGCTGCCGCATTGACCACGCCCTTCACGACATCGATGTAGTTCCCCGTCACGCCATCGTACTTCCACGAACGCGTCTGTACGAAGTTGGTCACGGCGGTGCGGTACCACGTCTGGTATTGTGTGAGCGAGTCCGAGGATGGGAAGAGCGCCTTGAGGGCCTAGGGATGCCCATTGGCAATCGAGTCGCAAAGTTATTAGAAGATGGATGAATGGGCGCACCCATTGGCGATCAGGGTCGTGACTATTCCAAAACAAATACGAGGTCAGCAAGTACATAGGGTGAAAGTGAAGTTGCGAGACTGACGTCGAGGGGTTATCAAAGGTGAGGAAAAAGCCGTAGCCAAAACCGAGGTCT